TAGATCGATTCGCTTTCTTGTAAGAAGTAACTGGAGTAGAGACGCTTTATCCGTGGAAACGGCATAATGCTGTGCTGTCTCCGTGTGCAACAAGCCACCAAACGCCATCACTTTCTCTGTCACTTCTGATAGGTGCAGTTGGCCTCACGAGGGCCACCCTGGGCCACTTGCTGTGACCTCTGCCCTTCCCAGCAGTAGAAGTGAGTCGCTGGTCCGCAGGGCCCCACCCAGGGGCGCACTGGGAGCTCACACCTGTGATCACGCCGGCAGCGCTGTTGGAGACCAGCCGGCATTTCCACGGGACGCCAATTGCACGGGGAAAGGGCCTGTTGTCACCAGGGGGTCACGTGGGAGAAGCGCTGTGTGGTCTCCTCCCCCTGGGATCTGGAGGAGAAAACGGGGTCCTGTGTCCCTTTGCTGCTAAGTCTGTTTGATTTGAGCTTTAGGAATTTGCTCCGTTTCAGGGAAGAGCGAGCCGGATACAGGCGGCTTCAGGTTAATGATATGTACTTTGGCGGCTAATGTAATTGCGGAAATGATGAATTACCTGCCGTCTGACTTGTTTGCAGATACGAAGTGATGGAGGTGCTTCTGACGAGCAGCTTGTGTTCCTTCCTTGTCAGCCTGTGCCCCGGCCTGGTCGTCCCTGCGCCTCTGTGCAGGGGTCCCCCGGGGAAGGGCCCTGCGCTCAGCAGACGCGTGCTCTGTGGCCACAGTGTCTCGGTGATACATCCCTTCCTCTCTGGGTGTGAGGAGTGGTCTGCTCCCGCTGTTCCGAGTGGCTGTGTTTGCAGAGTGGCCTGTGCTATCAGAATTCAAGGCCCGAGGTCCAGCCCAGTGACGTGGTGTGGCCGTTCCCCAGGTTACCAGCCTCCAGCCGAGGCTGAGTTTGCTTTCACGGCACGTGCAGATGCCTGGCTTTTGCTGGGCACCCCCGTTGAGCCACCGAGCTTCAGCTGCGGTGACCAGGAGCTGCAGTTGCCCCTGGGGTCGGAGCCCATCTTCAGAGACCGGATCATACCAGCGCCGCCCTGCCAGGGTCCGGGAGAGCAGGGGTCTGGGTCCCCTGAGTGGACCACAGCGACTGTCCTGCAGGGCCCCGTCCACTGAACTCTGGCTTCTTGGGCTCCTGCCCCACGTCTGCAGTCACAGCCACTGGCCTGCGTGTCACCAATGTGGAATTAATAAGCACTCTTGACAGTCTGGTGTGTAAATATGTAAAAAGTGTTTTAATTGTTTTTAGCAAAAGAGGCAAGGAGTCAGTGTTGTCAGACGTGACACATACGTCACAGACTCGCGCTGTGGTCAGAGGCCTGGGCAAGCCAGGGCTTCCTGCCGCAGGCCCCGCGTGTGTTTCCAGGCTGACGTCTGGGCGCCCAGTGATAATGGGCGCCCTGCACCGTATTGATAGGGCCGGTAAATGCTGGAAAAGTTGGGTTGACTTTGGCTTTAATTATCCATTAGAGCCAATCATGGATTCTTTGACTCTGTGAATTTCAGTTCCTGTGCTTGCACTGGTGGTTTATTTTTCATTTACTCATCATCAACTTCGTGATATTATATTAGCTTTGTCACATCCAGTGAGGTGATGACTCAGCTGTTTGCAGTGACACTTATGTATGCATACTTGTCCGGAGTGCTTTCTTTGTCTGAAACGGATGCAAAGGTGGCCTTTGTAAGGGCTCGTGTCCGATTGGCGGGTCCAGGCCTACAGCCTTCTCCCCTAACTCCATCCGTGTGTCCGTCCCCTTGTCTCTCTCACCGAGAGGCGGCCTCAACTCGATTTTGCCAAAGAAAGAAAGCCAAACACGGGCTGTTTAGGGTCTGCCGTGAAGGAGGCTCGGCGCCCGTCTGAGTGGGGTCAGGGAAGGGCCTGGCGAAGAGGGAGGTCCGACGCGTGGGGTCCACACCAGCATCGTTGTGTGTCCATGTGTCCGTGGCCACTCCATGGTGAGCCTTCCTGCGTGTGTGAGTGTGTGTGTGAGAACGTGCTGATCCCGGGCCACGCAGCCTCAGGACCCGCAGGCAGCTCACCGAGGCGTGTGGCCTGGGGCCAGGGACTAGCAAGGGACCGAGGACAAAGGGCCCTGCGTCCAGAGTCAGGCGCAAGCCTCTCCCACCTGGTATTCTCGCCAGGGCACAGACCCGTCTGCCGCGTCTCGGACCCACCTGCCTGGGGAGAGAGGGTGCTTGTTGGAGGGACGCCTGCATGGCGTCGCCCGGACGGAGGAGCCCGTCGTGTGTCGGCTGGCTGAGGGCTTGCATTCGGGTGGTCAGTGTGCAGGGCGGGGAGGTGCTGGGGCCCGTGGTTCCAGGGCCCTCCTGCCTCCGGCAGGCACTAGTGTGTGTGCACATGTGTGTGCATGTACACACAGGTGCGCACGTCTGCCGCAGCTCTGCCAGGTTGGAAGGTTGGAGGCGGAGTGTGTCTATGCCCCTACGCTTTGCCCCACCGAGCGCAGCACGTGGCAGAGGGAGCAGGTCACACCCTGCTTGGCGGCTGAGCGGTGCTCTCTTTGTGGTGACATCCTGTCAGGTGGCAGGTGTTGGCTGTTGCATCCCTGGAGTCAGAACACCGTGTCCTGATGAGCCATCCCTGTGGCCAGCCGTGTGCCCTGACCTTAACCGAGCCTGTCTCCCTGAGGCCGCATACGTGCGACGGGAGGCAGACGGCGCGAGTGCGCGCCTGGCTGCTGCACTGGGGGGGACAGGGCAGGAGCAGGGGACGGTGGGTAGCCACGCCCCTCCCACAGGCAGCCCCCGAGGTGATGAGCGAGGGGAAGACGGGCTGGTGGGCTGTGGGGCAGGAGAGGGAGGGGGTTGGCGCCGCCTCCAGATACAGCAACTGATTTGATGGCTGAGATGGCGTGAGGAAGAGGAAGGGACGCACCTGCCACCCACACTGCTGGGGCAGCCGGCGTGGACCAGGAGCCGTGGCTGCTGGGAGGCGGCCGCCGTGGACTACAGGGCGCATCACAGGGCCCCTGCATTGTGGAACTAGAGTCTTTGCAGAGCCTCACAGCTAGAAAGGAAATTTTAAAACCAGGAAGTATTCCAGAAAAATTTGAGCTTCAGCTTTGAAAAGTTTAACCATTTACTTTGCCAGCTGTTTGTGCTGTCATCAAAATGAAGCCCCTAGAGGGCCTCCTGGTCTCGCCCTTTGCGTGCTCCGGGGCCGTCCCGAGCCTCGTGGACCTGTGGACACGACCAGCCGCGTGTGGAAGGCGGCTGGGCACTTGCGAGGCAAGAGTTGGCTGATTCTGATACTGTTTTCTCTATAATTAATAAAGTAAGTTTATTTTCCATCTAAATTTTACGTGGTAGTAAATTTCAGCTTGCCTACATGACGAAGTATTCATTTTAAAGCATGGAATCAGATAAGTGGATTACCAGGAAGATGAGAGCAGGTCTGACTACGCGTCCCCCTCCTTCTAGTAGGCGTGTGGGGCTCCTGAGGGCGCCGGCAGCGCTGCGTCCTGCGTGGTTGGTGGCACCGCGGGGCCCTGTGTGTGCCGCGGAGCACGGGCCCGATGCTCAGGGCTTCCCCTGCTGGCAGGGTCGTGGAGGAAACCCCATCACCAGCCATTTCCCTTCTCGGGGAGGATTACAGGGTTTCAAAAAATTCTCTCTCCTCATGTTGCCAGATTAATAAAGACGCTGAAGGAGGTGAATCTTGCAGGCGGCTCTGACAGCAGCGTGTGAATTGAGGCTGCTCAGGGATGGTGGGGACGCCACCTTCTCTGCAGCGAGGGCCCTCAGGGAACCCCTGGGGAACCCCTTGGTGCTGGCCACTGGTTGCCATGTGGCGGGCTGGGCCCCGTGGGCATCCGGGTAGCAGGGGCCATAGGCAGTCTAACAGGCGACCAAAGAGGTGACGGGGGCCTCAGGGGCTGCGGACAGGGGCCAGGCCCCGCACCCCACATGCGGTAAGCCCAGGGTGTGCTCCCCTCATGCACGCACCCTGGCAGCCCTGGGTGTCTGGGGGACCCCAGCCTGGCTCCTTCTCCTGCAGCCCCTCTCCAAGACCCACCCTGCGAGCGTCTTCAGCGTGTGAGCGGCTCATGCCCTCAGAACTCCAGGCCTCACGCTGGGGTATAAGACGGCGTAATAGAGGGACCTAATTCGGGCTGTGCCAGTAGCTGGTATCTTGGCATCCTGTTAATTTTCTCAGTGAGGTGACAGTTTGTGGTGAGCAGGAGAGCATTCCCCTCAGGAGATCCATGCCAGAGCGCAGGGGTGCGGCATCATGGGTCATGGTTCCGCCCAAAGCAAAGCGCGAGTGCACAGGCCCACACAGATGCAGCAGGGCTGTCCTGTGCTTTGCGCTCAGCTTTCTGAAGATGCGGCAACTTCCCACACAAGAGGCTGGGGACAGGCCCTCCCAGTGGCTCCAGGCCTTTCCCTTTGGCGGAGCCCCGTGTGGTCTGGTCACGGCGTGCCCTCCTCTCGGCCACCTGCCCGGCCCCAACCCCCCCCCTCCCCGCCTGCCTTGTCCGGGCAATGGCCGCCCCCATTGTGGCCCGCTGTTGTCTTGCCGCTGCACGGTTAGCTCCATGAGCAGGGCCTGCTTATTAGGGCAGGTGTGTGAGGGTGTGATCACCTGTGGTGAAATTCAGTTCACTGAGCTTTGACAAGTGTGCCCAGTTTTATAACCACCAACTGCAATCCAGTTGGGGAGTGTGTCTATCAACCCAGAGTTTCCCCAGACCGTTTGTTGGGGTTGCCAGATTTAGCAAAAGAAAAGGTGTGTGCACAGATGCGTGTGCGATGCATACAGACGTGACCACACTCCTTCCGCAAACACCGCAGCACGTCTGGCTTTCAGACCAGGCGACTTCCCAGCCGACTCTGCGTGCTGAGCCTGGTGGTGCTGGGTGTGGGCAGGTTATCGCGTCTCGGTGACTGTGGTCAGGTTACAGGCAGGTAAGCTCTTGCTCGAAACTTTGCTGCAGAGATATTCCCAGTGCCAGTCTCATACGGTTTCTCTTTTTGCTCTGCAGGCACTAGGAAGCTTTTATTTTCTTCATGAATCCTTAAAAAACGTCTACCAGTTTGACTTTAAAGGTAAGACTTCTTGCCGTCTGCTGGGGTTTCCCACCTCGGCAGACGCCCCTCCGCCCATGCCCTGTGAGTGGGCTGCGGGATCTGGGTGTCGTGAGTCACTGGCCGGCAGTCACGAACCGGGGACCCTGAGAGAGCCTGGCTTCTGCTTCTGTGGTTTGGAGACACCCAGGCAGCCGTGGGCCCCTCCGCCACATGGCCACGCAGCTGCACCCGCGAGCCTCAGGCGGGGACCGGCTTCTGTAGAGTTGGCGGGAGCCGTATCTGTGTTCCTGTCAAATGTGAGAAAATGAAAAACAGAATGAGGGAATTGTGTATTTCAGAAACAAAAATGGACAGGAGCATGTTCGTGGCAGTGAGCAATGCTGTCCTCGTGTGGTGGGCAGACACCACATGCCGTAAGGCAAAGATTTGCCCCTGACACTCCTGCCAGCCTGAGCCTGTCCCATCTCGTTGGTTTCCGTGGCGCGGGGGCAGGTGAGTGTTGCCCCAGGTGTGCGAATTTCAGCCCGTGCCATGCTTGTGCCCCCACCTCCACCGGGCGTGTCTGTTCCTGCACGGAGATTCGTCTGAGCTCCACGTGGGCTCTGCAGCCGGAGCACGTCAACTGGAAATGTCACTGGAGTTGTAATGGCGGTGGAGAGCAACTGGTCACGTCAGCTGGAGCAGATTCGCTGTTTGCTCACTCAGGAGGCAGAGCGCCTCTTACAAACTGAGAGGCGGGGCCTTCTCCACGTTGCTCGGGTAGTGGTTTCTGCCGTGTGGAGAGCAGGATTCTAGCCAACAGAATGGCTTTTTGCCTGCCCGGTCGCCTGAGGCTTCTTCAGATACTTACAAATGCCAGCATCGGACCCTAACCCTAACCCTAACCCTGCCAGGGAATGTGGCAGGAATAGCCGACCAGAGCAGACAGGAGGCGGGCCAGAGGCTGCTCTTCCCTGGACTTAACAGGCGGCGGACCCAGTAAGTCGGGTTCCAGGCAGCCGGGCTGTGGGTGACAGCGCAGAGGCCGTGCAAGCCCAGCCTGTTCCGCCTGAAGCCGGGAGCAAAACCAGGACTGCCCTTCTAGGAACCGTGTATGTCAAGCCTAAGCGTGTTCCCGTTTGTGTTGCCATTCTTATACTACTAAGTCAAATGAATCACAAAGCATCGGCTAACCCACAGTTTATTTAAAACTGCGCATTGGATATACGTTTAACTCCAGCAGAACCTTGCCCGGGGCCTCCACATGGTCGACACTGACGGAAACTGTGCTAGGAACCGGCAGCGAGTGCACCCAGAGCTCGTGCCGGGAACGTGCGTTGACTCTGAAAGGCTCACAGCGTCGACAGTGCTGACCCTCAGCACAGGTGGGGGCTCGGGAGATCTCGGGAGGGGGAGTCTCAGGTGCGGATCTTAGGTGAGAGCTCAGGTTGGGGGTCTCAGGTCGGGGGTTCCGGTGGGGATCTCAGGTGGGGGGCTCAGGTGGAGGGATCCTTCCTGCCTCCACTCCTCAATCCGTGCCCTTCACAGGGATTGGTCGTCTGTTGAGCTGAGTTACAGCAAAAGCAATCTGGAATTGGTGAAAAGTTTGAATAAACTATTTTAAAATAATAGCCAGAATTTTTAAAAAATAAGGACCTAGTTAGAAGCTTAAGGAGGACCAGGAGGTCCAGATACATAGAAGTGAAGGGGTTTCCAGCTTCCAGCCCAGCAGGTAAGAGAGCTGGGCGTCATCACCGCATTCTCACAAGGAAAAGCCAAACAAACTGGAACGACGACTTGCCCAGACCCACCAGGGGATTACGGTGTGGGGCACACTGCCACCCCGAGGAACGGACAGGTGCACAGGCGGACACAGGGACCACAGCTTGCGGAGTGGGAACTGCATCCAGAGCCAGCGGCCTGCAGGGACACCAACGGGACCTGACCAGATGCTGGGGATGAAGTGCGGCCAAGCTCGCGAGAAGCCTTGCTGGGGCTCAGCCCTGTCGCTTCACCTCTGGGAGCCCCTCCCGCTCCCCGCAAAGAGCAGAGGAAAACCCTCTTGCATTGGCTGGGGAGGGGAAGGGACCGTTTGAAATATGCCAGGATGCTGTTCTGAGCAAGACTGCCCTTGGGGCACTCCTCACAGCCTAACGTACCTGGGGACAGGGGATACTGAGTCCGGCCCCCTGGAGCCCTCCTTTCTGGCCTCAGGTGTGTGGGGCGAGGGGTGGCTGAGGATCACAAGGAGGCCAGGGCCCAGGAGCACAGGCTGCAGAGGATAGAGACCCCAGACCTCGTCACCACGCCGTGCTAACGGTATCACAGCTCAGAGACCTGCGAAGCTCAGGCTCTAAGAAGTCTCACGGGAAACCCAGGGACAGTGAGGAGACAGAAACAGGAGCAGGAAAGGAGGCTGTATCTCTGATGCCAGCAGCTGCAGCAGGCGGTAGACATGCCCGGGCCCAAGCCAGAGCAACATAAAACCTCACCCTAAAAGCCTGTCTACCCCAGTTCCTTTTACCCGTTATTCACGTTCTACTTGTAACAAAAATTTACAAAAAGTGTGCTGAAATGTTAAAAAAAAAAAAAAATACAACCTAAAGCAAAAACACCTAAGAGTCAGAACCAGACTCAGATATGACAGAGATTTGGAATTATCAGTCTGGGAATTTAAAATAACTGTGACTAATACACCAAGGGCTCTGATGCTAAAAGCGGACAGTGTGTGAGAAAAGACGTGTGATGTCAGCAGAGGGACGGAAACCCTAAGAAGGAAGCCAAAGGAAAACCTGGGAATTCGCCACCCTGCTGCGGAGAGGAAGGGTGCCTCCGGGGCCTGTCTGCAGACTGGGCGTGGCCGAGGGAGGGTCAGGGAGATAGAAGTTACACCACGGGAAATTTCACAGACTGGAAAGTAAAGAGAAATAAGAATACGTTTAAATACCAGAACAAAATGTCACAAACCATAGGACAGCTACAAAAAGCGGCAACTTGCAGAGGGAACACTGGTAGGAGTAGAGAGAAAGGAACAGAAGAAATATTTGAAGTCACAGTGGTTGAGAATCTTCCAGAATTAGTAACCGACACCAAGCCACAAAGCTCAAAGAACACCAACACCAGGCAGGATAAATGCCACAGACTCTGTTCCCAGGCACGTCATATTCAAACTGCAGAAAATCAGAGACAGAGAAAACCCGAAAGAATCCAGTGCTCGGGCTTGGGGAAGAAACACCTTACCTGTAAAGGAGCAAGAATAAGAATCACAGCGAACTGCTCTTGAGAAACCACACGGGAAAGAAGAAAGTGGCGGGAAATATTTAAATCATTAAAGGGGAAAAAAATCAACCTAGACTTCTGTATTCCATGAAATTATTCTTCAAAAGTGACAGAGGAAGAAGACAGAGAAAGAAGACAGACAAAGGAAAATTGAAGTAATTTGTTTCCGGGAGACCCATCTTGCAAGAAATGCAAAGCTCTTCAACAGAAGAAAGATGATACAGACCAGAAGCTCTGATTTACATAAAGAAAGAGGATTAGAGAAGGAACAAGTGAAGGTAAAATAAAATGTATTTTTCCCACTCTTAATTGATCTAACAAATAATTTTTGTCCAAAGTAATAACAGCAGCCACGTATTGGGTGACCGGCGCTTGCGGGTAGAGAGATGATCAGTGGCAGGGCCACGAGGATGGGGGTGGGGTGCTCTGTCCGTGGGCGGTACAGCGTTATTTGTAAGAATGGGCTTGGACAGTCGTATATTACAAGCTCTGTGGCAGCCACTAAAGATTTTTAAAAAGACGTATAACTGATATGTCACAAGAGGAGAGAAAACGGAACCACATAAAATGCTCAGTAAGAGCCAAAGGAGGCAGAAGAAGAGTGGGAGACGAAAAAGGAGCAAAGAACACAGGCGACCACGGGAAAGTCAGAAACGTGGTCGGGATTATTCCGACTGTGTCAATGACCCTTTAAATGTAAGGGAGCAAAGGATGCCAGTTACAAGACAGACTGTTGGGGCAGATAAAAAGGACCCAACTGTGTTTCGTCGTCCATAACCTACTTAAAACACGTAGACACAAAGATTACGACGAAGGGATGGAGACAGGTGCACGGTGCTGCCACTGGTCAGGACAAGCTGGCTGAGGAGCTCTGCTGAGTTCAGACAGAGCTACCTCCAGAGCAAGGATGGTCACCAGCAACAAAGACGGACACTGCGTAACGATACAAAGGCCCGTTCTTTAAGAACGCACAACAGCCCTTACGTGTGTGCGCCTAACCGGAGAGCGCCAGAATACCCGAGGCAAAGACCAGTAGAACTGCAGGAAGAAGCAGATGAATCCACCATCACAGTTGGAGATTCCAACACCCTTTGTCGGAAATGGACAGACCCAGCAGGCCGAGAGTCGGTGAGGACATCGTGGACTCAGCAGCACCGTCTGACATTCGGGTCTGACTGGCGTCTGTGGGATGGTCCGTCCACTGACAGCAGAACATACGTTCTGGCCCAGCTCACGGAACATTCCCTGAAACGGAGCACGTCTGGGGCCATAAAACATACCTTCATAAATTTAAAAGTACAGAAACCATACACTGTGCTTACGGATTACAGTGGACTTAAACTAGAATCAGAAACAGAGAGACAACTGGAAATCCCAAAATACTTGAATATTAAACAACACATTTCTAGATCACACATGGGTCAAAGAAGAAGTCTCAAAAAATATTTGGAATGAAATGAAAATGAAAATACAAGTAGAAACAATCCTCAGAGGGAAACTTGTAGCACGAAATGCGTTATTAAAAAAGAAGAAAGATCTAAAATCAGTTCTCTAAGCTTCTACCTTAGGAAACTGTTAATAGGAGAAGAAAATTAAATCCAAAGTAAGCAGAAGAAAATAAATAATAAGAATTGGAGCAGAAATCAACAGAATTTAAAACAGGAAATCAATAGAGAAAATTAACAAAACCAAAAGCTGGTTCTTTGAGGAGATCAATAAAATTGATAAAGCTTTAGCCAGACTAACCAAGAAAGAGAGAAGAAACAAATGACTGACACCAGCCCGAGAGTGGGGCCATCACTGCTGTCCTGTGTGCAGCAAAAGGATGATAAGGGATTGTTATTAAGAAGTCTGTACCTGTGAATTTTGTAACTTGAATCGCTCAGGTCCTTGAAAGACAGAATCTATGAAAACGGCACAGGGACAACTAGGTAATCTGAACAGACCTAGAACTATTAATGGAATGGAATCAATCTCTAACAACCTTTAAAAAAAAACAAAAAGCACCAGGCCCAGATAGCTTCTCAGGTGAGTTCTAGCGAGCATTTAAGGAAGAAGTTATACCAGTTCCGTACAATCTCTTCCAGGAATATAAGCAGAGGGAAAACTTTCTAACTCATCCTATGAGGCCAGCACTACCGTAATACCAAAACCAGGTAACGATTACGAAGGACAACTACGGGCTAATAATACCTGTTACGAACTTAAAATGCAAAAATTCTCAGTAAAACATTAGCAGGTTGAATCCAACAATGTATATTAGTAGAAAACATAAACACTGTGGCCAGTTGGGTTTATTCCAGGTGCGAGAGGCAGGTTCCGCATTTAAAAGTCAATTGATGTAATCTGTCATGTCAGCAGGCTAAAGAAGGAAAGTCATTTAGTAACTTCAATAAATGCAGAAAAAGCATTTGACAAAATCCCAAACTCAATCATGACTGAAAAAAAAAAAAAACCCTCAGCAAACCAGGAGTGGAGGAGGACCCCCTCAGCTGGGCGAAGAGCAGCCGCGAATCCCACAGCGACGTCAGCCTCGGTGAGAAGTGGGAAGGACGTCCCCTCACACCATGTCTCAGCGTCTGGCCTGAAATCTCAGCTAATGTGATAAGACAAGAAAAGGAAATAAATGCGTATTGATGGGGTGGGGGGATAGGACTAAATCCCAAAGAATTAACAATGCCAACAGAACAAACCTGGTTCTACCAAGCTATTACCACTAACCGTGTGTTGCAGGACGCAGGTTAATGTGTAAAAGTCTATTGCTTTCCTGTATACCAGCAATTAACAAGTGGAATTTGAAATTAAAAACACAACATCATTTACGCTAGCATGTACAAAAAAGGAAGTACCTGGGAATATGTCTAAAAAATATGTCCAAGATCTCTGTGAGGAAAACTACGAAACTCTGATGACAGAAACCAGAGCAGAACTAGATGAACGGAGAGCTGTTTCGTCGTCACGGACAGTGCTGTGGTCTGTGTGTGCGTTTCCCCCCAAATCCATGTTCGCTCCTAACCCTGAGGTGGGGTGTTGGGGGTGGGGCCTCTGGGGAGACTGAATCATGAGTCAGAGCCCTCGTGAGCAGCATCAGAGCCCCTTGTGAACCAGTCCCGAGGGAGCCTGTCTGTCCCTTCCACCGTATGGGGACACAAGGCGCCATCCGTGAGGAGCGGGCCTTCGCCAGACCCTGGATGGCAGCGCCCTGACCAAGGACTGCAGCCCCCAGAGCACGGGACGCAAACTTTCTGTTGTTCACAAGCCGCCCAGTCTAAAGGACTTGCCCAGCCAAACACGGAGCTCACGGACCAAGACAGGGACGCGATGTGGTCAAGAGCTCAGTTCTTCCCGACTTGACCCAGGGGCTCCGTGCAGTCTTGTTGCAACCCCAGCACGCTGTCGCCCGTCTGCCGATGGGTGGGCCATGAGGGTCGCGTGGAAGGCAGCACGCTGTGCCAGGAGAGCAGCGGAGGACGGACCCGCCCCCTTCGGCACTGCCACGGGATTTGACTCAGTGATACACGGGCCACGGAGCGACATGGAAGAACCTTACATGCACATTGCGGGTGAAGGAAGCCCGTCTGAGGCGGCCAAACACTGTGTGATTGCAGCTCCATGACGGCCTGGAAAAGGCAGAACTGTGGGAACAATGAAAAGATCAGTGGTTGCCGATGTGGTGAGGGGAGGACGGATGAATCCGTGGGGCACAGAATGTGTTTGGGGCAGTGAGAATGCTCTGCGTGATACCACAGTGATCGACGTGTGAGAACACTGCGCGATACCACAGTAATGGACACGTGACATCACGTTTTGATACCACAGTGATAGACGCGTGAGAACACGCGCAGCCTTTGCAGTGCTGACCCTGTTCTTCAGCGGACTTTCAGGATGAATGTTTTTCTTTTCTGACAGGGGCAGGTGAGACTCAAACCTCAGACCATGTCTTGCATCCGTGTGTGTCCCATGTTCATACCTCTTTTCTGTGTCCCATGTCCTGTGTCCTGGCCGCTTCTCTGTGTCCCATGTCTCATGTCCCATGTCCGGGCCCCTTCTCTGTGTCCCATGTCCTTGTCTGGGCCTCCCTCCATGTCCTCAGAGCCCCCTCACGGGTTGTGGCTGTGTCTCCTCTCCACGTCCTCAGCTCTGGCCCAGGCTCCGCGGTGCTCAGTGGACATCCCTGTCAGGGGGCGCTCTGGGCCACGGAGGACTGTCCAGGCTATGCGTCTGGGGACCGATGGCGGGGGGAGCTGGAGAAGGCTGCGGGCGGGCGGGAAGGGGCGTGGGGCAGGTGGAGCCCAGGCTGCAGACTGCTTCACCCGGGCAGCTGTGCGCTCCCTGTGGCGGTTTGCGCTGGGACAGGTCTGCCCCTCCGTGGCCCCCAGAGAGGTTCGTTCTCCCCCTGCCCCCTCTCGTGCTGGGACGCTGGCCTCCCTGTGACGGGTGGTAAGTGCCGTCCTACGGAGATGGTGGCTGGTTTACGGTACGCGCTTCCTGTGATGAAATGCACTTGTGCCCCGTTTCCAGCCACAAACGGGCCAACTTATTTAAACACACTGTTCTTGGGTCTGGCCTCCGCCTACCTGCGCAGGGCACCAGCCTCCAGACACGCCGACGGGCCGTCTCCTGTTGCCTTGAGTGAGAAGAACCTACTACTGTCCTTCAGCAGGGACGGTACTGAGGGACTTGGGAGGCGTCAGAGCTAAACGTGCCTGAGCCATCCCAGGAATCGTTTCCATGCCTGGGAAAGACCAGGGTACGGTTAGCTCGTGGCTCTGAATTTGGGGAATGGTCTCTGTTTCATGTCTTGTTCCTGCTCCGTAAATGGCGGACACGTCTTGCGTGCTGTCTCCTGCCTGTGAGGCCCAAGCACCCGGATCCAGATCACGGGCTGGGGCGGCACCGTGAGAGCCGGCACCTTCCCTGGGAGGCCACGGCCCCTCCCACGTCCTCGGGTGGTCGGCGCTGCAGAAACCTCAGGTTTGCGCTGCTCGTGGGACACAATTGGCCGTTTGTTGCAGAGCTGTCCCGAGATCGTCCTTGACACCCGGTAGTGGAAGCCCTGGCCCACGCGACGTCGTGCGGAGAGGCCGGCAGCTGTCCGCGGGCCGTGCTAGTGCATTTGAGGAGTGGTCCGAGGCTCATTCCTCACACGCCGTGGCGGGCTGGGCTGCCTGCGTGTGCAAAGGAAGGCCCCAGGCCCGGGCGTGAACGGCAGCAAGACCACCCCATCCGCAGGAGATTTGCTGGTGGGTGTGGGGGAGGCCACTGTGGCAGCAGCTGGCAGAGCCAGTCCGGAGGCTCCTGCCTGCGCTGCGTCCCTCCAGCTCTGTAGAACGAACGCTTCCCTGGGATATGAGTGATGTTGGCTGGATTCGAGGAGGAAATCGATGTTGTAAAATAAATTCCTGCGGAGGTCTGAGTGAATGGTAATTCCACGGCCCTCTTAAACATATTCATGGTTCTAAAGAGGACGCCAGTTAGCCCCTGTGAGTCTGTGGGCTGGGAGCTCTCGGGGGATGATGGAGTGGCGAGTTGGAGTCCAGGTCGGGTGGAGTTACAAGCTCGGGCCTGGGGGCGGGTGCCTCCCTGTGTCCTCTCGGAGCCTCCCTGGCCCCACGGGGCTGCACATGGGCCCCCGAGCAGCGCTTGGCTGGTTGGCTTGGGCGCAGAGATGAAGTGTTCACCGCCTCCTCTGGTCTTTTCCAGCCAAGAAGTACAAAAAAGTGACCGGCAAAGAGATCTACTCGGACACGCTGGAGAGCACGCCCATGCTGGAGAAGGAGAAGTTCCCGCAGGACTACTTCCCCGAGGTCAGTCAGGCGCCCAGCGACGCCTCTGTGTGTGCTTCCTGCATCGCGGGTCAGAGCTGGCTGGTGCCAGCTGCCAGTGTTCTGCCTTTCTGGGAGGTTCCAGGCCCTCCTGGGTTGATCCCGGCTGTCACAGACAAGGGAGTGGCACCTTATGTGTTCTGCGCCATGTCAGCGGTAAATTCTCCCATTGTCACGTCCAGGCCACAGAACCTGCTCCCGAGATGCAGGAGGATGTCGGTTGGCTCACCCGGGGTGCACCTGGGGCCTCCAGCACGCGGGTGTGGGAGGGTCGCGCTGGGCAGGGAGAGCCAGGACGGTGGCTGCTGTGCCCTGCCAAGGTGTCGGAGGGACCGTGCCACACAGCGGCGTCTGTCCTGTCCCAGCGCAGGAGCGCGAGGGCAAGGTCCTGTTCACGGCAAACCTTGGGCGGCCGTGCCGGCTAACGAGTAGCACAGCTGCACACGGGGAGGTTAGACCACGTCCCCACAGTCCTGTGGCTGCTTACGAGAGTTTAGAAATTAGAAAGTCAGGGACTATTTGTTGTCTCACTGCGCAGACAAAAGTAATCGTGAAATGCCGGTGCAGTTCCTTCGGTTTTAGTGCATTTTGTTTAGTTTCTGTGTGTGTTTATGTGGCTGTTACACCATCTGGGTAATTTTGGATGGTGTTATTTTTTAGCACATCTTAGAACCAGCATTTTTGGAGCCTCCCAAACTTGTGCAGTTACCGTGGCGACTCAAGAGTTTATCGCCTTGCCCTTTTGTCATCCGTTAGATCACAGCGAGGTTGGGACACCTTGACCGGAAGCATTTTGAGTGCTGAAAACGAAGAGGTGATGGCTGTTCCCGGTCTGGGCGCCCCCCACCCCTGCCGTGACAGAGCGGGTGCGTGGAGCTTGTCTGCTCAGCCCCAAGAAGGATTGCTCCGCGATCCCCTTCTCCGCGCGGGTCTTTCTGCAGGGGAGGCGGCCGCGCCCGTGCACAGGCTGATTCTAGCAAGGCCACAACTTTATTAACTTGCTTTATGGCGCGATCCTTGAGCACAGGGCTCGTGGCCGCCTCCGTGAAGGATGGGTGCTCTTGTCACCCTGGGGCTCAGCTTCCTCATCCATTTGTCGTCGGGCCAAGGACACGGCATCTGCCGGCCGCCTCCTGTCCTCAGCCTGTTCCTGGGTCTGCTCCCTGCCTGCCCACCCTCAGCGAACTGCCCTTGGAGGAGGAAGCGCAGGAAAGCCCCGGGGCCTCTCTGTGCAGAGCTGAGCCCTGCGTTGTGACAGTTCCCCAGAATGCTGCCACGTGGTGGCACGCACCTCATGAGGGCTGTGGGGGCCGTGGTTCCCTTGGAGAAGCTGTGAGCCGAGCTCCGGGCTCCATTCGACCCAGACCAGAGCCCGCGTCTCAGAGCGCCCAGAGACAGGCTCAGGGACCCAGTGAAGGGCTGGGGCCGCCTCTGCCCAGGCACTGGCCCTGGACTGGTCCCAGGGAGGGGCTGCAGCCTGGCGTCTTGCCTCGGTGGGCCTCGGTCTGCTCAGCCACTCCCCCGAGCCATGTCGCCACCCTGAGGCTGCGTGGCCTCTGAGGACATGCGGGCCCTGGCCGTGGAGCCAGGCTGATGACATGCCCCCCCCCACCAGGTAGAGGTTCCCCACATGGTGCCCCTGGCCCCCATCATCTGTTTTGGCAAAAGCACTGGGGGCCCAGCGGTGATGGGGGTGGAAGCCCTGGCCCTCCCCAGCCTCCCTGCCCACGCTGATGTCCAGCCGTTCCCTGCGTCTCATCTGTCCCAGATGGGTGGGGAGAGCCCAGGAGGGCCCCTGAACCTACCAGGGATGGGCCGACGTGTGTCCTGAGAGACCAGAGGCAGCAGGGGTCAGCCAGGGAGGGCAGCCGGGATGGACAGGGCCCTTGGCAAGGAGCAGGACACGAGGGACAGCTTGGGCCCCGGGCGTGGAGAGCCATGGGGGCGGGGGAACCAGGACGGGGCGGGGGTGGGGCAGGGCTGGTTGCCGATGCTGCCAGGCTGGCCACTGCCAGGGTCTGCTGGGGCTGGGGACCGAGGCTGGGCTTAAGCTGGACGGAGGAGGCCCCTGACGGGGGGAAGCCGACCTGAAAGGCAGCTCTGGACAGGGGCCCGCGGCTGGAGCCTGCTCAGACCCCAGGGCAGCAGGTGCCCCGCAAGTCGCTTTCCTGCATTCGCAGCTCCCTCCTTTAGGTGCTGCAGGACCCTGAGCTGTCCAGATGTCGAGAACTGAGTAGGGAACAGGCCACAGGCACCCAGGGCCCCTGCAGGCTGAGGGTGGGTGGCAGTGAGTGCTCGGCGCCCTGCCCTCCCCAGTCCCTGGCGGGGCCCCTCCCAAGGGTGGTGTCCGCTCTACACCAGGCCTTGTGCGCACGTCTCCGCAGGCAAGGCCAGCCCAGGGGCCCCCAGCGTGCAGCCTCCACCCCGGGACTGCAGGGGCTTGCCGGCAGCCCGCGTCCCACCTCCGTTGTCGGTGACTCCAGAATCTGGGATGAGCAAACCCCGTCTGCATCTCCGTCTTCAGAGCTGGGGCTCCAGGGGCCCAGTGTATCCCTGGCCTCTGCATCTGTGTGTTGCCAGGGCCCCGAGCAGCGTCACTCCATCTTTCTGAGGGGGACCCCAGGTGGAACCACCCAGGGCAGGGTCTAACTTCCCGCGAGGCCGCACTTCTTGTCCAGGGCAGCCCTGGGCCCTGCCTGGCGGGGCCTCCCCCAGGCTCTCTGGACCCCCACCCATTGAGGCTGGGGGCGGGGGGCTCTGCGGTGACTCTGCACCCGTTGGAGGGTGCCCCTAGCCTTGGTCCTGTTGGCAGTGTTCTGTCCCCTCCAGGGCGCTGGCGTGGTCTGTGGGACAGAGCGTTGAGGGGCTGTCTCCCTCCCACAAGGAAAGCAGCCGCAGCCCAGGTTCGGGCCTGTCCTGCCTCAGTGGCCCCAGCGCCAGGTGATCATGTCGTCACGTCTACGGGCAGAGGAGGAAACGCATTCCTGGGACGTAGACTCGTGGGAAGGAGCAGGCCTTGGTGTCTCTAGGTGGACCTGTCTCCCGGCCTGGAGAGCACGAGTTGCAGCCCACAGTCCGGCGGTCGGTTGGCCAGCAGGGCCTCGTGGCTGCTGGTGGCTGCACAGAGGGGCCAGCCCTGCCCAGGGCCCGGGCTTTCTGGGGGTCAGCATGTGCATTGCCACCCCGCCACCCTGGAGACCACCTGGGATCCGTGTTCCTGACCTGGCGTGGTACGCACGCGAGTCCAGGCACATTTCCTTCCATTCTGGTGAATCAACAGAACGGAAATCTTATTTTACAAATCATAAACTTTTAACGATCTGTCAAGACTGTAGCATTTCCTAAACGTCCAAAGCTTCGCGAAGCGTGTGCAGCTTCCGCATGTCTGTAACGGAGGGATCCCAGCGAGGCCTCTGCCTGCTGCCGGCCTGGCCACGCCACAGCCACGGCCCCTGCCCAGCCACCCCTTCCTCCGGGCCCTTGTGCCGAACCTGCCACTGTGCTTGGACACGTTTTGGGGGAGGGAACTGGTTCAGACTGATTTCTGTCTCTTTGATTACCATCACTTAGGCTAATCTGAGTGTAATTATGGTGATGGAGGCGTAATGTAATTCCAAATAATCACAGCCCACCGCGTAGAAAACTAACGAAACTTCCTCTGTGATTTATGGCGCTTTTGGCTCCGTATGAATTCCAAATGGCGCCTCTGGGAGCAACACTGCAGATAATGCGAGGCCATTTTTAAAAAGCAGATTTGTGTAGTCGATCACAGCAAGTCATTTTTTTCCTTTTGCCCGTGGTGAGAAATTGGTTGTTACCATAGATCACAGGCCTGCTGCAAGCTCTTACGAAAGATGAATTAATTCCACTAATGCTCTAAGCGGCCTCTGCGGCGTGGGCTGTGTGGCGATAACCTCCCCGCAGCCTCTCTTTTCTCCATGGCGATTTATGCCATCTTTTAGTAGATGAAACCGCCTGTATTCGCTATCCATCTGCCAGCTGCAGGCATCCCATTAACAGGGCCGGGCAGAGACTTCATATTGTGCTGTGAAGGATGCGCTCCGTCCCATGATGCGGATCCCACTGGTGAAAACCCCTCTGGGAGCAGAGCAGCCGCCACCATCCCAGCCGTGATCTCCTGAGGGGTGCTGGGCGAGGGCCTCAGCGGGTGGTCGGGGCCCAGGAAGTTTCAGAGCCCAGACTTGGAGGGAAGAGCTCAGTCAGACATCGGGGGCCCCACCCCCACACTGTCTGTTTCCATCTGCAATGGGCCAGGCAACACGCACCTGCACCTGGCGGCCGCAGGGCCCTTTCTGCCAGCGAGCAGGTGGTCTGTGGCAGAGCCCCGGGACTCCTGTGTGTGCACCCCCAGATGCAGTGCGTCCTAGGCCTGCAGGGAAGACGGCTGTGGGGCATTTCAGGGAGGGGCGTTCAGGTGAGCCGAGGAGCAGCCTCCGAGAAAGGCACCTGCGCCTTCTGATGGCCTTAGGGGTGGGTTCCTTTGTCCCCACCAGGATGGGCCCCAAGTGCTCAGGACTTGGCCAGGACAGGGAGCAAGTGGCCAAAACGAGGGCGCTTTGGTCCAGGCGTGAGCGGGTGGGTCCTCACTCTGCGTTCTCCTCCAGGGAGCTGGCCACCTTGGGCAGGTCGAGGTCTTTGGGCGCTAATTTCCTCACTGGTGACACGAGGGCGCTGCTGTCCCTGAAGGCTGCGTGGGACGCTGCATGGGAACCTTCTTCCGCCCAGCGCGTCCCGGCCTGAACCCTAAGCACACGATCCAGCTTTGAGCCACAGGCTGTGAAAATACCAGAGTGTCGTGGGTTGTAGCTTCGTTTTCCATACTGTAAAATCGTTCAGAAACGCAGTCTCAACACATTCCCAATCGATGGGCTTATCTCAGAAGGAACATACTTTCTACAAATACTTTATCAAGACTATTTGGTTATACTATTAAATTCTCTGAGATTCATTTGCAATTTAGTTAAAATCTTTCAATGTAGTTAGAATCCTAAAATAACACTTATTACCAGTCTATGTTATAAAAAAAAAAGTAACACGTTGTTTCCGGTTTGATTTATTGAGACTATTAATAATTAATGTTGAAAATAATTTCCATTGTTATGGAAAATTTAAAAATCTAAACAATCAAGATGTGCACACATGCACATATGTTCAGGATATATTCACAAACATCCATGTACATCTTGATTAGCACAAATAATTGAAAACTGAGGGGAACAATAATGTTTGGCACAAAAATTCCCAAATGCCTTCCCTTTTTAGTGGAAGAAAAGCTGTTGCCAGTTATGTTAATTCCAGGCCAGAGCGTGAGTGTGTTCAGTGGGGGTCTCAGCTGCACCTGTCGGAACTGGCCTGGTCACAGGGAGTCTCCATGTCCCTCCTGGAAACAGGACGAGTGGTGTCCTGGGGACAGCTCCTCTCCACTGCGGACACACCCGCCCCTCAGGGCTGCAGACCGTCTCTGCCCACTCCTTCAGCGCGTGGGCGTGGGGGCTCTAGATCCCGCAGGGTGAGGACCCCGCCTCGTGGAGCGTGTGGCGGCTCGAGAGTGGACAGCCGTGCACTTAGCGAGCCCTACACGTGTTTGGGCGGGCTGTGCCTGTGTGACAGATCCTGGGGGTCCCATCCTTCAGGCCCACGTTCCTGAGCCCTAGTCCAGCCACTCGGGGGAGACGGGACGGGGAGGAGGAGCCGGCACGGGCCCTGCCGAGGGGGAGCTGGCGGAGGGTGTTGGCCACGGCTGGCTGGGAGCAGCCTCTGTGCTTCCGCTGAGCTCACGTTTCTGGGGGTCCCTTTGGGTGCCCCCACTGGTGCCCCACCCTGCAGACATGCTTCTCGCACAGGGGCTGGTCCTGGCTGTCCTCCCTGCAGTGTCCTCAGTGGCTTTGTGCCCTCGGACCCTGGTCAGGTCACTCTTTAATTGGGCCGTCAAGGAAGTGGACTCAGGCTCTTGGGGTCATTACCCGTCACTGCCTGTGGGAATCTCATCGGCCCGCGGTGCACTTGACGTGGACTCGGCCACTCCCAGCCCGGCCCGTCCCAGTGTTAGTGTCGGCGGCAGGTTTCCTGACTCACGGATCAGAGGTTGTGCACGAAAGTGGTTTCCAGGGAACTGACCCCACCACTATATCTCCACATAGGGTGTCTTAGTCTGTTTTGCACTGCCATAAAGCAATACCTTTATGGGAATTATCCTTATCAGGTAATTTTTAAAGAAAAGAGGTTAATTTGGCTCAGGGTTCTGTGGACCGTACGAGGAGCGTGTCCTCTGCATTGCTGGGGAAGAGGGTGCTGCCCTCGGGCCAGACGCTGAGGGTGCGAATCGCGAGCGTGGACCATCTGTGGCAGGTGGCGCCTCGGCTGTTTCCAGGACAGACTGCCGGCAAAGCATGGGTGGGATTTGGACGTGTGGAGGGTGGTGGAGGAGCGTCCCAGACAGAGGTGGAGAGCAGGGTGTGCAGGGGGCAGAGACTGTGAGCGTCCATCCGTGTCCCCGCGGCTGGGCTGTCTCCCGTCCACCCAGGAGGGTGGAGCCTGGCTGGGCTGCACCAGCCCCCAGCTTCCCGTGTGTGTGTTCCCATCGCAGACACAATTACTTACGTGAAACGAGCACAAATGTTTCCAGGGCCACGTGGCCCCCAGAGAGCCACCTACTGGAGCTGGCAGCCACGTTTGGGATCAGATGTGAACGTCTAGTGCAGCAGACAGGTGAGCCTGCCGCCATGCTGTGCAGCTCCCCAGCCCAGACTGTCTGGGCAGCAGGTGGACCACCTGTCTGGCGACACTGTGTCCAGTGTCCAGGAGCTTTGGTGCAGCCCCTGTTGTCCAGTAGGCAGAGTGGCCTGAGCGTGGCGGGTGTGCAGGCTCAGAGCCAGAGCCTCGTGTGGCGGGAGGCAAGGCCACCTGGACAGCAGAGCTGGAGCCCAGAGTCTGATCCCTGGTCTGGACCAGGAGGAGTGTCTGGGAGCTCCGTGCCTGTTCCTTAGTTCCCCTGTGAACCTGGAACTTCTCTGAAAAACAAAGTCTATTATAAGAACACTGTGCTCACCTGGGGCTGTAGAAGTGAAGGGAGCAGAAGGCAGAGTCACCTGTAGGCCGTGTGGGTATCTGTGGACACCCTGGTGTCACGGGAGCAGGGACGCTGGGATGCCACGGAACCGCCAGGTGGAGAAGGTGGCGTTCCCTCAGCAGGAGGTGACGAACCACGGGAGTGTGTGCGGTGAACAGACACAGAGTGTGGATTCACTGCAAAGATAACTAATTTTGAGGAACAAGCTGACAAAGAGTTTAAAATAGATGTGTTCAGAATGCTCGAACAGATAAATGGAAGGATAGAGTTCATCAAAAATAAGATGTTCTTCAACTAAAACAAATAAAATAAGAACAAGGGAACGTGTGAAAGAACCCGCCGTTGACCGTAACAGAGGAGATCCTGATGCAGACGTGGTCAGAGAGAGTCGGTGAATCTGGGGTGTCATTAAGGAGTTTATTCAAAACGTAGCCAGGAGAGACAGACGTTCTTGTTTTGTTGGTGGTTTTGATGGTTTTTATTTTTATAGAAAAGAGCAATTAAAAGGCTCAAATGTTCGCCCAAGAGAAATTCCGAGAGGAACAAGGGGAGCGATGTTGGAAGGGACGAGAGGGGAGATTTTACCAAAGTCAGCGGCTCTCCAGACTGGAGAGTTTGGGTCAGAGCAGGGTGTGCAAGATAAACTCGGGCCCAGATTGTAGCGAAGCTTCAGGATGTTGGTGACAGGAGAAAAACTTTTTAAACAACCAGAGAGAAGAAAATACACACAGAGTTGGCAGTTAGTTCTTCCTGTCAGCAGTGGTGCAGGGCAGCTGAGAGTGCGGGAGGACGTGGCCGCCCAAGTGGCCACCTGGGTTGGGTGGAGCCAGCGGGAGGGGGCAGGAAGGGGCAGGAAGAGGAGCCCCTGGGCCAGGAGTCCCGCAGCTGGTCGGGGAGGGAGCTGGGGCAGGAGGCTGAGGGGCTGCAGAGGCTTGGGCAGTGCCTGGCGGCCGAGAGAGGAGCCGGGGGGACAAGGTCCATGGGTTTCGAGGGTGGAGGCCGTGGGGGCCTTGCAGGGTGCGTTTTGGGAGGGGTCAGAATCAGGAGCCAGTTGAGGATTGAGTGGGGGCGGAAGAACGGGGAGCCCTGTGTTGGGACGGCTGTTCTCTTGTTGCAGGGTTAGCGAGGAGGGGTGTGGCCAGCAGGGTGCAGGGAGAGCTGCTTTTGTAACTCCTGATCTATTTGTATTAAATAAAGAAGTGAGGTGACAGCCACCGAGTTGCCTGGGCCCGTGTCCCTGGACCCTTCTCTCATGCGGGGAGCACATCTCCTCCTCCCATTTCACTCTGGGCCTCCAGGCCGTCCTCCCATTGTCCCTCCTCTGCCGTCCTCCGTGGGTGTGGTGGCCCTGCCCTGGGGGTGGCTTTGGGGGCAGGCCATGCCCTGCAGAATCCCGAACTCCATGCCACGTGGCATTTGCGAGGCGAGGGGCAGGCCCCCTCCTCCCACTGCCTCCCCAGGGGTTTTCAGGGGTGCTGGGCAGGCGCCCCACCCCCACCCCAAAGCTGCTCAGGCTGTGCCGCTGCCTGTTCTGTGTGGCTATTTAAGCTAAAATTAGGATAAAGCAGAGTTTAAAATTCAGCTGTTCGGTCACAGGCTTCGTGCACTTGGTGTCGGGCAGCACCGGCCACGGCCTCCGTGCTCTGTGCCGCACCTCCCTGCGCAGCAGGAGCAGCAGTGGAGAGAGGCCGCAGCCACCTGGTCCCCGCAGCCCGTAGCCGTGGACAGGGCCACTGCCGGGTCTCGGCCCCACGCCCCTCCCTGCCCCCAGCCCTCTGGAAGCCAGCGAGGGCAGTGCGGCGTGGTGGCCCTTCTCTCGGACTCTGGAGGAAGCATGCAGAGGTGGACCCCGGCTTTCTCGAGTCTGAGTCCTTTTTCTGTTCGCAGCCGACCCACTGGCGCTGCTGTAATGAAGCACTTTAGGCTGGGTAATTTATAGACAATAGAAACTTACTTCTCGCGGTTCTGGGGTCTAGGAAGTCCAGAATCAAGGTGCCGAAGCTTTGTGTCTGCCAAGGGCCTGGCTCTGCCCTTCTCATGTGGCACCTGTGGCTGCGTCCCTGGAGGGAGGAGCAGTGCGTCCTCGTGTGGTGGGAGGCCGGAGGGTGAGAGGCCGAGCGCTGGGCAAGCCCCCATCGATCACCTGTAAAGGCCCCACCTCTTACTTTGACGGTGGTGGTTAAGTCTCAGCACACGGCCTGGGGCACATTCAGAGTATAATACCGGCTCTGCGGCGGGACCAGTCTGTTGCCAAGGCCCCAGGCTCGCCGCTGTCGAGTGGGCTCACCAGCTTCGGACTCCTCGCTGCTGTGGGCGCAAACCAGCCGCCAGGGTGCCTTGCTGGGAGTGCCCGGGAGCTTCTCTGGTTCGGCCGCAGTGTCCGCGCTCCATCTGGGCGCTCTCTGGGCACCTGCAGGCTCCCGCGGCTTTCCTGCAGCAGCTCTTGCGCTGGGAGCAGGGCTCCGGGGAGAGCGGGCTGCCATTTTTCTTGGAAGCGTAAGCAGCCCATGTAAGCATTTTGTGTATCATACATGAGCATTTCAGTTCTTTTCGGCAGAGAACACTAAATGCTGAAAGATTAAAACTGTTTTTCCTGTTTGAAAAAGCACCTTATTTGCTTCTTTGGGTGTGTAGGAGTCACGTTCCTCTCTCCTCATCCGTGCGCCTGTTTGTTTTTCAGTGCAAATGGTCGAGAAAAGGCTTCATCCGGACAAGGTGGTGCATCGCTGACTGGTAAGTTGTCCTGTGTCCGTCTCTGCTTTGGGAACTTCCAGAGTGTTCTTTGTCCTGTGCGCTTTGCACAAGTGGCGTCTTGCACTTGTCTCGCCGAAGGCCCTGTTGACTTCGCACGGGGACCCGGCTGCCTCGACTGACCCCTCGCTCTGACCTTGTCTGTTCCCGGTGGGGCCGGACACCACAGGCGTCCCCCATCCCTCAGGCGTCCGGGCGCTCTGCCCAGATGCAGAACCACTGTCGAAGGCCAGGCCCCTCTCCCAAGCATGAGAGTAGCGCTCGCCAGAGCCCCCGCAGGAGCAGGCGCATAGTTAAATCGCGTGGCTTGGCCCGGCGGCCTGTGCTGTCGGGGTCCGAGCACGGAGAGCAGCCGTGCCTGGCTGGGCTGTCGCCGGCTGGGCTTCCTGCTCCGTGCGCAGCACTTGCCTGTCCTGCGTGGTAAGGCAGGTCAGAGACGTGTGACCCGGCTTCCCAACGTGGTTTCCGGGATTCCTGGCCTGCCCCTCGGGTGTGTGAATCCCGCGTGGATGCCGTTTCTGTTCTGCACAGCTGCGCTGCACGAGCTGTCTGCTGCTGTTTGACAGATCACCCCAAACCTGGCAGCTCTTAAGAAACAGACACTGAGCAGGTCGCAGTTTCCGCAGCTCAGGGTCGGGGGTGGCTCGGCAGGCCCTGGCCTCCCTGGAGCCGGGGGACCTGCTTCCAAGCTCACCCTCGGGGCTCTGGTGGAGGCCTTGTCACTCAGGACGGGGCGTCCCCAGGGATCAAGGTCTCCAGAGAGCGAGGGGGACAAGGTGTCGGAGATGGAGCCGCCATCCTGTGACCCACACCCTGCTGCACTTGGCCCTCGGTCACAGTGACCAAGCCCGGCTCTCTGTGGGGCCACGCAGGGCATGGATGGCCAGGCGGGGTCAGCGGGTCACCCTGGGGGCTCGAGGAGGGAGGGCCGGCCTGTGACTCCTGCCGAGGGAGAGGGGTCAGGGGACGCCAGCATCTCCAGCGGAGGGGGCCTTGCGGACGGTGTCAGGACAGTGCCGTGCACTGCACTAACCTCCCCTGGGGAGGGGACGTGTCCCTGCCAGCTGGCCTCACCGAGCTCTGGTGCCTGGAGGCCAATGGCAGGTGCCCCGGGGCCTGGGTTTGTCCTTGGGGCTGTGAGCTTGGGGGTTTCTTTTGGGAGTGAAAGGAGACACAGTCCTCGCACCCCTGCCCCACACCACAGGTCCCCGGCAGGACGCAGTTGCACTGGGAATTGGGGTGCTGAGTCTGGGGGCTGGGGGGCTCCCTCTTCCTTCTAGCGTAGTCCACAGCTGAGGACAGTGTCCGCAATCGTAAGTCCTTAACTTTAAAGAAAAATGGCTGGGTTTTCACCTGGCTGAGTAACTACACTTGTGTAGATGCGCTAAGGCTTACCTGCGGGTCTCCGGCCCTCTGGCCTCACGGGAGGACAGGTGGGTGAACAGGTGCCCGGGCTCAGGCAGCTCCACACTGAGGATGCTGGAGCCAGCCACGTCCTGGGGACTCCTCAGGACCTGGAGGCCCCTGGTGACGTGTCCTTCTCTCTTCGGTGCAGTGCCTTCGACCTGGTGAACATCCATCTCTTCCACGATGCTTCCAATTTAGTCGCCTGGGAAACAAGCCCTTCCGTGTACTCGGGCATCCGGCACAAGGCTCTGGGCTATGTGTTGGACAGGTAGGTGCTGGGCTGTCGCCCTCCTGCCAGCCACGTCCGGAAAGGGCCGTGGCTCGTTCTCTTAAGCCCCTTTCCTGGTCTGCCTGCTGGTGCCACTGCAGGACAGAGCTGACACCGGCGGGGCCTCTCCTCGCTGGAGCCCCACTCCCTCCATCCGTGTCTGTGGTGAGCACAGCCTGGCCGTGGCCCACGTGGGCTCCCTGCCTACTCCCCATGTTCCTCCTGCCTTCCTCACAGGGCCCCGCACAGGGAGTTGGGAGGGGCTTCCCATCCCTGTGCTGCTGTAAGCCAGGCCCGCGGCTGTTGGTTCACCTTGGTGGCCAAGCCACCCTCGTTCCAGGAGGAGCAGGATGAGCCCGAGGGCCCTGCGGTCTGGTCCTGTCCCCGCCCGGCTGTGAGGGAGCTCCTGGTGCTGGCCGCCCCCGCCAGGCCCTCGCAGAGGAAACAGGAGCGTGGGACCTGCACGCGGGGCCCAGCCCTCACCCTGTGCTTGGCTGCACCTTCCTCAGGGGCCTGCCCAGTGGGGCCTGTCACTGACAGGGCCCAATGACAGCCTGTGACCCTGGGACCGGCCCTGGGCGCCCTCCCTGGGCAGGGCATTGGCTGGCCAGGGAGCCAGGCCCTTGCCATAGGCCCGTCGGGAGTGGCTCCTCCTGCCCTGCTCGTGTGTCCTTTCCTTCGAGGCACCGAGTTCCTCGGGGACCCCCGTGGAGCGAGGGGGTGGAGCTTGGTCCGTTATATCCGTCCATCTTGGTGACTTGGTGAGGTTGCCTGTGTGGTATGGCATTACAATGTGTCACTGCCCCAAACTGCCATGCCTCCACGGCCTCCAAGAAAGCATCCTTTGGGTTTGGGGCCACTTTCCAGCGTCTCTGCGTTCCCATGAATGGCTTCTGTGGCGCGTTCAGCCAGCCGCAGATCCGGACCTCCGCGGTGCGGGGCCGGGCCGCCGGCACAAAGGGGAGCTCTGCAGGAGTGGTGAGTGACGGCCCTTTCATCGGGCTGCTAACCTTTGGCAGCCACCAGCAGACTGCATTCTGCCGCGCCGACGGGGGAGGACAATGCCGCGCTGGCCCTTTGAATGGACGTTGCCACCAACAGTGCTGCATTCACGGTGTGGGGACTCTGAGACACAGGGAGACAGCAAGGAGGCTCCCGAGGGGACCCTGCCTTTCCCTGGTGCAGTCTCCCCGTGTGAAGTTCCCGTTGGAGCTGCAGGAGCCTGTGGCATCACAGCCGGGAGGGAAGGCAGGTTGGCCCCAGAGTCCCGTCCCCAGGACACCCTGTGCTGAAACTAGGTGCCCGGAACTGCCTTTGCAATTCTTTAAAAGTAAAAATACTCCAGAATGAAATGGTTATCTAAAAAAGAACTCCGAGACAAACTCTCTGAGTTTCACTCTTCAGAAGCTTGTGAGCGTCCACCAGCCGCAGCAGGAGCCACGGAGCAGTCCACCGCGCAGTTCCTCCCGGCTCATCCTCACACACCCTGTTCGTGTTCTTTGCACAGTTATGAGTTTTGTGCTATGAATCTCGTGTTACAAAAAGTTAAAAAAGACAACTCCCTGATTAGTGCAGAGTGCCAGGCCCAGGGAAGTCTTGGAGCCAGTGTTGGAGGGTCCGGGCGAGGTGTCAGAGCACCTATGTCGGGGCCGGGGGTCCCGGGACGGCCCTGGCCTCAGGCAGACCCTCCGGCACTGGGCAAGGCCGACACTCACACCTCCACCGCCTGCCCTCTGTGTGGCCCTGGCAGGCACTTAGCACTGAGCACACGTTGCGGGCCGACTGGGTCCCTCTCCCAGACACGCGGGTCAGCCCTCGGGGCATCCGGAGGGATTAGACCAGGATCTGCTCCGGCCTTCCTGGGCGCCAACCCTGAAACGTCTGAAATCTTCCCGAGCTTTCGGCCCGTGAAATGAGATTTTTTCCCTAAGTGACAGGACTCTTCTGTCTCCCTTTGAAATGTGGCCTGGCCTAGTTCAACGGAAACATTTTTACATTACAACTGTGAAATCTCGGCATAAAGCGCCCCTTTGTCCCCCCATTATTTTCTCACAAATACAGTCCATTGTCACAGTGCTGAAGTTAATTTGATCAACATTGGGACATTTAACTTTTATGTCCGGTCAAAAGAGTTGTTTCATGCTCATTTTGGGCATTCAAAGGAAATGATTGCCAGAAAAATAATGTCCCCTGAACAATCGGGAGCAATTAGTTTCCCAGGGAGAGGCGATGTGACGCCGACGCCCCAGCCCTGCTTTGTGGCTTTGTGGACGGTCATCAGTCAGCTGTCAGGCTGCTCAAAGACCCTCCGATCTAAATGTTTCTCTTTAGGCCGTTCCCAGAACTTGCCTCCCTGTTCAGCCAGCAAAAGAAAAGCCTCTGCGTCTCCAGGGAAAGGCAACCTTGGTGCTAAAGATCTGGGTCATTCCGGAACACTTCTGGCCACAGGGCTGTGTCTAGTGCTTATTTTATGGCTCTGTGTTTAGAGAACAAGTTGCAGGTGTCTTTGCTGGTTGTGTGCACATCCCAGTCAGGCATCCTTACCACCTGGGAGCCTCAGGGTGGTGTGGTCGTGTGTGTCTGGAGCCCCCCCCCGGTCCCTCATGGAGTCCCCGAAGCACACCTGACACTCATGGGGCGGCCCAGGTCGGCGCCCCTCTGCCACTTGTGCCGCTCCACAACTGAAGCCTCCAGACCTGCGCCAGGGTGCCACGGCGTTGGTTAGCGGCACTCTCGATTAGGGGGTGTCGTGTCCGGCTGCCGTCCCAGCAGAATGAGTTCACCGTGCCTTACATCTCGGATGATTGATGGAATTCGAATTAATAATATTTATTTTGTTGAAACTGTTTCAAGCATCCAGAAGAGTATAGAAGGTTGTGGTGGTGAAGTCACCACTTCCACTCAGCCATTGCTTTTACGTTCTGCCATGTTCGTCCCTTTGATAAGAAAGAAAACGTGGCTGCAGGGGTGCCCCTGCGTCCTCTGTCCTGAACCCTTCCTTGCCCCCCATGCTGTCCCCAGTCGAGGGCCTGTCATTCCTTTGCACCTTTCTGTCCCCTTATTGCACAAACATTTCGTTTTTATACTTTTGTTCTGTGTTATCATGCACGTGTGTGTAATTTATCTTCTTACAACATACACAAGCATCCATTAGCAACATGCTTTAGCTTTATGTGGGCAGCACCCAGCTATACACGTCCCTCTCTAGCCTGCGTTTCCGCTCAGTTGTGCAGGTGCAGCTGGCGGCTCCACCTTCCCCGCAGCTCTCCACCGCGACACTTGCCACCGTGTGCTCCCTGCTGCCTTGAGACGCGTTGGGTGGTTCTCAGTTTCCCGCTGACAAGCAGGATGACGTCTCTGCTGGACAGTGGGAGCGTCTCCAGCCCCCGAGCCTCACCCACACCCACCTGCACCCGGCCAGTCTGGGGAATGTGGGGCAATTTGTGTTTTCCCAAAACCAGTGAGGATGGGCATCGGTTCACGTGTCTGCTGGTGTCTGGTATGTCAGGGACAGCTTGGCCCCTGAGCTCGGCTGTTATTTTTTCTGCCAGATCTCTGAGGAATGAAGTGGCCTCCAGAGGTCGAGGTGCTTCTGTCCTGCACATGGTTTCTGTGATTTATGGTGGTGCCCGAGTGGAGTTTGAGAGGTGGTTCCCAGTATGTGGAAAAAGCATACTTGAAATCGTGGTGTTATGTTTGGAAAACATGGAAGTAGTAGCTGCCAGAGGAAGGCCCAGCGGGGTGTCCACAGTGGGCTCTCCATACCTGCTCCATCTGCCAACATTTCTGAGTGGGTGGCAGGCGTCTGCCAAAGGGCTGGCAGGTGTTGGGAAGGGTGGGCTTGCTGGCTGGCTGCGAGACCAGGTGAGCTCAGGCTTAGTCAGCTCAGGCTGCCCTGACCAGGTGCCGTGGCTGGCGGCACAACAGCAGATGCTCCTTTCTTGTGGTTCTGGAGGGTATGAGTCCAAGGTCAGGGTGCCGGCCTGGCCAGGGTCTGGTGAGTGCTCCTTCTCGGGCTGCACACGATGGCCCTTCCCTCTTGCCTGGTGGAGAGAGGAAAAGTGTGCTCTGGGGCTCTTTTCCTAGTTTAGGAGGACACCAGTCTCCTGGGTGAGGGCCCCACCCTCGTGCCCCCAGGCACTTGAGGGCAGCTTGCTGGGAGGCACAGGTGGAGAACTCAGGGAAGTTTGAGGGCACTAGCCTGGGGTCAGTGGGCCAGTCAAGGAGCCCCTTGAGCATGGAAGTTGCTGGGACTTTACCTGGCATCCAGCTGAGCTGCTGCAAGGCGTCCCAGGTGTCTGTGCCAACCTGATGCTAACCCCAGTGCCTTCAGCACATTCTGCCTTTTTGCCTTTGCAGGTGACCATCTTTCCTTGGTGACTGCCTTGCTGTGTCTTAGACAAGCATCTCACCATGGGATCTATGGGGTCAGGAGCTCCGCCCTGGGGCTCAGGCTTCAGGAGGACAGCACACAGGGGGTGGGATGAAAAGTGCAGTCATGAAAAATAGTCTGTCAGTTTCTAGGAAGGTGAAAATCAACTGGTTGGTCTATTTATTTGCAGGGGGCAAGTTTATTTAAAATGGCTTAAATACATTTACAATGAAGCACTCAATTAGATACAATATTTTAAGAGAAACTTTTAAGTGATTAAATAACTCTAAAATGTTTTGGGTAGTTTTAGTAATTTTATATTGTTGATATTTTTGCTATTTAAAATTGTTTGACCAAAGCACGTAATCTCTACCATGAGAACCTGACTTCAGTCAATTCCCAATCATGCACAAACTATGCCTTTAAAAGAACAGTGCTTCAACATACACATCAATAAACATGACTCACCACATAAACAGAAGCAAAAACAAAAGCCATGGGATCACCTCAATAGATGCAGAAAAAGCATTCAACAAAATCCAGCAGCTTTCATGATAAAAACCCCTTAACAAACTAGGCATAAAGGGAGCATACCTCAAAATAATAAAAGTCATATATCACAGACCCA